CGAAGTTTCAGTCCCTGATTCAATTCGGCAGAGATTCGGCCCGATTCAGTGGCTGGATCTCCGAATCTGAATCAAATCAGGAGACCCTTTAATCTCTCTGAATTGGATCGGAACCCTCTGAATTGATTCAGAGAGATTTGGAAAAATTTGGCAATTCAGATATAGACACAGCTTTAAGTGTTTTTTCTACATACCTCAAGGTACCAGGCAGGTGGTGAACGCTGCGATGCTGGGGCAGATGGAGCTTCCCACAGGAGCATGGGGGGCTCCCCAGTGCGCTCAGCAGCAGACCCAGAAGTGAACCAGAAGCACTTCTGATCCACTTCCAGGTCCGCTAGGGAGCACACGGGGGAGGGAGGGCGGGCCTTCCCAGTTCAGCAACTGGTTCTTCCTGGGTCTGGGAGGCCAAGCCAGGGGGGCGCACAGGGGGCCCCTGCGTACTCCCTGGCGGACCCAGAAGCAGACCAGAAGTACTTCCGGTCCACTTCTGGGTTCGCTGCCGAGCACACGGGGGGGCGGGCCCCCTGCACTCCTGTGAGACATTCCATCCACCCCAGCATCACAGCATTCACGAGCTGTGCCTGGTACCTCAAGGTATGTAGAAAAAACTTTTAAAGTTGTGTCTATAGCCAAATCGCTGATTCTCTGAATCTGCATCAAAACTTCAGATTTAGATTCAACTGAATTGAATCAGGGACAGTGATCCAAATCAACTAATCGAATCAGTGTCCCCGATTCGGGCTGAATTTGAATTGAATATGGCCCATTTCGCACACCCCTAATGTAAGGTGCTTGTTGGTCTGGGATCTAGGCAGTGGGACAAGTCAGGAAGTGGTTGGGCTAAGTGAGGAGCGCACTCAAGCCAAAACGGATGGAAGACCGTGTAACTAACCACTCACCACTGCACCCGGTTTGTATCCTCATTTGGGTCTTTCCTGAATCCAGCAGGTTTTGTGAGTCTGTAAAAGCTAGGCTGAGAGATTTCATGTACAGATTCTCTAGGTATTTGGTTTTCCTTATATCAACTTCCTGTCAGGTACAGGAACTGAAATAACAAATAAAAAATCTCTTTAAAATGATTCCTAGTTATTTACAGACTTGTTCCCAATTATTTACAGTGTTTTGGGGTCAGTTCTTACTTTATCCAAATTGGCTGACCAATTCTGAGTTACCAGGTCTATACAGCTCTTAGCAAGAAGCCTGGGAGATTCCCTATGACATAAAACTGGCAAGTCATATGACCATAGTTCTCAGAAACCAAGCTACTAGCCAATTCTATCTATTATTTTTGGCTTAAAGAAAATGCTATAGGCTTCT